CGGGAGGCTGAGGCAGGAGGATCGCTTGAGCCCAGGAGTTTGAGGTTGCTGTGAGCTAGGCTGACGCCACGGCACTCTAGCCCGGGCAACAGAGCAGGACAATGTCTCAAAAAAAAAAAAAATCACCCTGTCCCCCTGAGGACCCCATGAGGGCTGGCGGCGTTACCCTCCACGTTTTACACGGGGAAACCGAGGCTCTGAGAGGCGTGGGGACTTGCCTGAGGACACACACTCAGGACGCTGTTTCCTGCACGCAAACAAGGTGCTGTGCTCTGAGCAGCTGCTGCGGCCGGGTGGCCCCAGCACTCCCCGCCCCCAGGCCCCTCGCAGCCCACACCTTGTTGATGTCGGCCACGCTCTGCACGCGGAACTCCGTCAGCCCCGGCACGTACAGCTGCCCGCTGCCGTCGGGGCACAGCCGGATCTCCAGCTTCTCCTGAGGCTCCTTCCCCAGCAGGTCCCTGGAGGGGCAAGTGGGCGTCACTCCCTCCTCCCACTTCCGGCCCCTGCTTGCACTGCACCCGGCCCATCACACCTTCCAGAAGGCTCCTCTGACTGTCGGGCTAAGGCCACTCTCCTGCAGCTCCTCCCCTCACTCAGCTGAGACCCCGACTGTTGCCCAGAAGTCGTGGGGCTGGTGCTGCGCCCGCCTCCCAGCGCACTGAGCCCCTGTGGGCAGGGCCCGGCCACCACTCTCACCCCTGCCACCTGGTGCAGCCCACAGCCAGGGGAAAAGGAGCGCCTGGGCCTCCTAGGCAGGCTCGGAGAACCCCTGCTGCCCCCAGGGCCCCCTGACCCCCCTGGGCCGAGTCAGGACCGAGGTCAGGACTTGGGGCTAACCCCCTCCGAGCCCCAGACGCCACGCCGCGGGCCCCGCACCTGAGGACCTCGTTGTAGATCTCGGCCGCGCTGACGCTGATGGTGTACTCCCAGTCGGACGCCTTCTCCTGGACCTCGGAGAAGAGCAGCTGCAGCGCCCGCTGGTTGATGCCTGGGTTCTCATGGGTCCCCTGGGGGGCAGGAAGAAGGGTCCCAGTGAACCAGGCCTCTGCCCTCGACTCGGGGTAGGCCGTGCAGATAACTCACGTGGCATCGCCCTGCCAGGACTGCCCTGGGGTGAAGGACCTGGCCCTGCTGGGCCACCGGAAATGAATGACTTTCCTGCCCACCGCCCAGAGGGGGCTCAGTGCCAGGGAGGCTACGAACCAGGCTCTGCGGGTGGCAGAGGGCAGGCACAGGCAGAGGGGAGAGGTGCCCCGGGGCCAGATGGGCTGGCCAGCCTTTCTAGAAGGAAATCTAGAGTCTCCCACCCCAAGCCCTCGCCTAGTCTCTGACGGCACCTCCCACCCCCCACATTCCTGCCGCAGGGGCCTCTGTGCCAGGCCTCCAGTGCGCCACGTGCGCCTCAGGACAGCCCGCGGGCTCTGCCCTGTCTCAGGTGGGCTCCGGCACTGCCTCCCGGGGGGGCTGCCCCCACACTCCCAAACGCCCCGTCCCTCCTGCCCAGTCCCTCGCCCCGGGCCCCGTTTTCCCCCGGCCCCCGACAGGGCACGTACAGATGTGCTTTTGCATTCTGTGCTGTCTCCCACCGCCAGGGTGGCTCCGTGGGGGGCAGGGACTCTGTTCTGGTCTCAGATGTGCCCCGGGGCCTGGCACACCGCAGGCCTCAGCAGTTATGCTTAGAGGACAGATGTTCCTGGTGGTCGCCTCTACTCTAAACAGCCCCAAAACAGAGCTGGGAGCCCAGGAGGTGCTGCGTACACCCCTACCCCCTGGGCCTGCACCCCTAGCCTGCCCCTCCACTCCCAGGACTGAGGGAGAGGCAGGGTCCAGGCGGGGAGAGGGGGCCACCAAGGCAGGCTCTCCAGAGGTGCTAACAGCCCGGACCAGCAGGGCCTGTCCAGCGCTCTCCTCTCACCCAGACACTGGGATACCTGCCCCCCTCCCTGACCTGGGGAATCCCACGGCACGGCACCCCCTTAAGAGCCAGGGAAACGGTAACACCCCCCAGGAGCAGCTTTCCATTGCTCTGCCCACAGTCGAGCTTCCTCCTGGTCCCGCTCCCTGCCACCACGGACCGGGCTGGCCACAAACAGGGAGATGAGGCCCTGCCCTGGCCCCCGGGCTGCAGGTAAGAGCTGGGTTTCCTACGACAGCTATCACGTGGCCAGTCTCTCCTGGGCCAGCCTTCACCCCAGTGTCCCCCAGCCCAGCGCGGAGCAGCCATAAAGCAGGAGGGTGCTCAGGGAACAGGCATGGGCGAAATGAAAGACGTCGTGGTGGCCTGTCCTGGATGCTGGCCCCAGGCTGAGGTCCCTCTGACCACAGAGGCTGTTGCCCAGCATGCGCACGCCTGCCCTAGGCCTGCTGGGACCAACACAGGTGCTCTTGGGCAAAGGCGGCCCCTCTTCAGGCCTGGTGCCTTGGGGCTAACAGATAACTATGGCCTCTCCTTCTGGGTGGCTGTGAGGACCAACTGAGGCAAAACCCCAAGACCAAGGAGGGAGCCCCCATCGATAGCAGCAGGGGGTGGTCTTCACCCTGGGTTCCTGGCCCATCTGGTGGGCACCCACCTCCATCGTGTACGTCTTGCCGGCGCCCGTCTGGCCGTAGGCAAAGATGCAGACGTTGAAGCCATCGATGCAGGAGGTGATCAGGGCTTGGACCTCCTGGAACACCTGGGAGGGAGGGAGGATACAGGTGGGGGCTTCCAGGGCCACCAGGACCAGGGACCCCCCTGCCAGCTGCAAGTCCAGCTGCCTCCCCGACCACGTTCTCCTTCGGCGGCAACACAGCACGTGTGACTGCAGTCACCTGGCTCGCTGCTGAGGATTCGTGACCAACGAGTCACTCGCTCAGCCATCAAGGCAACCTGGCTACCGCAGGCCGAAGGGAAGACTGGACGGTGCCTGCTGCCCCCTCCAGCTGTGCCCGCGCTGGCTCCCGAAGGGCTCAGCAAGGCGAGGGCAGAGGCTGGCACAGGCCTGGCACCTCTCTGGCCCAGGGCTGCCTGCCAGCGGACAGTGGATGGGGCGAGGTGGGAGAGCCAGACGCGGGAACAGGAGGGCACAGGCAAGACAGGCCCCGCGGGCTGCCCGGGCGGCTAAGACGAGCAGATGCTGAAGCACGTGGCTCTTACACCGCTAAGGCCCAGCACTGGGGGCGGGGTGGGGAGGCCCCAGGAAGGCCTATGGGACGGATACAGGAGGGCGCTCCTGGCTGGAGAGGCACACGAGGTCGGGAAGATGGATGGAGCCACGTGGGTGGGAGGGGCCGTGCCTGGATCTCTCCTAAGGGAGGCTTCTGGGCCCTCGTCTTAGCTTCCCACCTTCTTCTCTCCTCCACGGGGGGGACCCTGGTTCCTCGCGTCTCCATCCTGCCCCCCACTCTCAAGCTTCTCTCCCCCTCTCTGCACGGCTCTCCCTCTCCCAGCAGGCGTCCTCCCCCACAGGGCCACACTCACATCCTGCTGCGATGCCCGCGGGGAGAAGACCTTGTCCAGCTCGAAGGATACAGGCTTGCCCTTGTGCAGTAGGTGGATGATGGAGTCATCATCGGGATCGAAGGTCACAGCGTTGGCTGCCTCAGGTCCTTCCCCGTCTTCTTTGGTGATAGGCCGGACACGAGCAATCACCCGGATGTTCCCTGGATTGGTTGGGGATGAAGGGGTGGGCCCGGGCAGGGTCAAGACTAGACAGCCTCCGCTCTGGCATCCACTGATGTCCTGGTGGCCCAGGGGTCCCCTGCCTTTTATGCAAAGTCCCCCAGGGCAAGGTGGCCCACAAAGCTGTTATATCAATCACTCACACTATAGTATGAATTCATTTAGTACGTTTCGTTCCTGAGCAGACCAGTTGAGGGTACAGACTTTGTGCCTTGGGGACAAGCCAGTTGTAGAGCTCAGCACTGTACCCATTCTGGATGAGACACCAAAATGGACACTTTCTCTCTGGACTTCAGTTTCCTCATCTATACAGTGAGGGGCTCGGGCCCCAGTGAGCCAAGGGACTTGTCTCATCAGTCTAAAAGGCACTGCGAGCACCAGGATGGGGCTTGGGAATCAGGTGGGCGAACAGGACCAGACAACGGGTGGGCTGGCACTGTTCCTAACGAGCAGCCGCAGACACATGCCACCCTCTTACTTCCAGCCTTGTGCTCTTGGAATGAAGAGAAAATGCCCCCCACAGCCAACACGGCCCACCTTCCCTCCCTCTTCACCCACCCACTCCAGCAAGCCCCCCAAGCCCCCCACTCCCGTCTTTCCCAGCCCTGATAATGGGGCGGTGTCGGGGTTCTCTGCGTGATTAGCAGCCACTGGCCATTCTCCTCGCAAACACGAGCACCACGAGGCAGTCCGTGGGGCCACGGCCGTATCCTCGGTGTCTGGAACAGCACCTGACACAGAGCAGGCGCTCCCCACAGTGGGAGTGAGCTTGGTGGGGTCTCAAGCTTGACCAGGCCCCAGGTCAAAACAAGTGGCATTGCAGCCAGCCACCACCCAGTGCTCAATACCACACCCCTCGGCCACCCAGGGCCTGGGGAGTAACCTGCCATGGACACTGGGGAGGGGCTTCGGAGCTGGACAGATCAAGTTCAAGTCCAAGGTGGACCATTCACTAGCCATGTGGCTTTGAGCAAATTCCCTGACTTCTCTATGCCTCCACTTCCTTATCTACTGGAACAGGATAATAATAAAAGCTTCTTAATGACAGGGCACAGCTCCAAGGATGACTGCCACGCCAGGTTGAGGACCCCTACGCTGGCCCATCCCACCCAGCAGTCACCTTTTAGCCGCACGAGCTCGTTGTGGCACTTCTTGCGTAGCTGCAGCTCCCGGCGGTACTTGCGCAGCAGCTCCTGGTTGTTGCTGTTGACCTCCTCAATGGCCTGGCCGATCTGGTGGGGGGTGCACGCCGCGGTCAGGGGCCCGGCTCCATCAGCCTTGCTTGCCCAACTGCCCACCCCGGCAGGACACTCACTGCCTCCGGCCCTGGGCTGAGTATCTGACATGTGCCATCAGGTGTCAAACTGTTCCAGTCACCCCTCTGGGTAGGTACTACTACCATCCCCATTTTACAGATGAAGAAACTGAGCCCCAGAGGGGTTAAGCCAATAGGTCGAGCTGCTAATTAGCCAAAGCCAGGACGCAGCCCTCACTCCACAGCACTAGCACTCGACTCCAACGCGATTTGGCTGGACTCAAATTCCAGCTCTACTCCTGAGTGGCTGGGGGACCTGAGACCATTGGCTCAATTTTCTCATCTGTAAAATGGGGATAATACCATCTAACTCATGAATCTGTAAAGAGATGGTAGGTAAAGATCTCCCAGTTACGTTTCATAGGGGGAAAAAAGCAAGATGGCAAAACCACTCGTACAGTATGCTGGGGTGAAAGGGATGCGTATACAGTTGTCGGTCCCTTGTTATCTGTGGAGGATTGGTCCCAAGACCCCTACAGATACCACAATCTGCAGATGCTTGAATGCCTGACATAAAATGGCATAGTATCTGCACATAATCTATGTACATCCTTTGTGCACTTATTTATTTACTTTTGGAGAGGGGGTCTCCCTCTGTTGCCCAGACTGGAGTGCAGTGGTAGGATTATAGCTCACTGCAGCCTTGAACTCCTGGGCTCAAGGGATCCTCCTGCCCCAGCCTCCCAAGTTGCTGGGACCGCAGGCACGAGCCACTGCACCCAGCCTCCATATACTTTAAATCACCCCTGCAGTGATTATTACACCTAATACAATGAAGATGCTATGTAAATAGTTGTTATACTATGTTGGTTTTTTCCTGTTATTTATTGTTTCATTGTTAATTTTTTCAAATATTTTTAACGTGCGGTTTGTTGAATCTGCAGGCGTGGAATCCGTGGGTACAGAGGGCCCACTGTGCACTCGTACACATACACTGACGGCCTGAATCACGCTCAGGACGCCCTGGGGCAGGCGATGCCGGGACAGGCCGCCTTAGGGAGGCGGGCGGGTGGCAGAGGCCTCTCCCGTTCACCTGATGCTCTTGTGCAGGGCCAGACCTTTCGCCACGTCCGTGTATTCCTGAGGTAGTTTCTTTAAAGGAGAACTATTTTCTATTCCCCAAATGTATTAGTCTCTGCAGAGCTGTCATACAAGTGCAAGGAGCCAACGGCTATAAAAGGCTCAACACGTGGGAGGCACTTAAGAGATGCTGGCTATTCTCATACTGTGCAAGCACAGCCTTAAACAATTAAGCCTAACAGATACGTGTTTGAGATGCAAGTAACGGGTTTGTCTAAAGAATCACGGTGAGACAATACCTGCCCCTGCCAGTCTGTTTTCAAACAGGGCCTCTGAGGGCAGCAGCGTGCGGGCGTGTGTTGCCTGGGGGGCGTTGTCTGAGTTTTGCGAGGGAGCCCTGGAGGACCCTGCGTCTGCCGGAAGGTCTAGGCCTCTTCCCGGTGCAACGCCCCACACCCACCCGCTGGCCTGCGGTCAGCCACCTGCTGCCCGGCTCACCTCGGCCTTGACGCTCCTGAGGGCCTCCTGCAGGAGCAGCGGGAAGCTGCGCACCTGCCGCTTGAGCCCATTGTAGTCGTTCGTGAGCGTCCGCAGTGCTGGCTGCAGCGTCAGCAGGTTGGTCCGGACACCTGCGGGGACACGAGGGGTGAGGCAGATGGGGACTGAAGGGCAGTGGTGTGGGGCGGGCAGGGCCCGGTCTGCTGGCTCACCTGCCAGGTTCTCGTGCACGGCCTTCATCTCCACCTGGGCTCTGGCGAAGGCCTCCTCGATGGCCCGGTTCTTATCCTCCTCCAGGGACTGCATCTCCTCCAGCATCTGCCCGTGCGCCCGCTCCAGCTCCGACTCGTACATGGCGATCTGGCAGCCGGGCCAGGAGAAGGCTCAGTGCCGTGGGGCATGGGAGGGAGAGGGGCAAGCGCCACACCGGGAAAGAAGCCCCACCACTCGCCTCACGTGCACATGAACACTCGCGTGCACGCGCCAGGTAAAGGGCTGGAAGGGCCGTGAGCTCTGTGCCGCGACTGCCTCCCTGCATCAGCCCCAGCACCAAAACGGTCCCAGGAGAGCATGGGCGTGCACGTGCTATGACAGTGACAGGAGCAGGGTAGGGCCTACTAAGCACAGTCTGTGGGCTGGGCCCTGGGCGAACAGCCTTTTGGGATCACATTCTTGAGTCCCCACTGTGAAGTGGGTTCTGGAACCAGATCACATGACATATGAGGAAACACAGACCTAGACGAAACTCACCCCTGGTCACAGGGCCGCTGGGGAGAGGAGGGACCGGACCCCAGGCGTGTTGGTTCCCAAATGCTTAACTGCTGTAACATCCAAAGGACCCCTGTTCCCGGCCCACGTGCACCCCGTGCAGCCTGCGCACCTGTGCCCGGAGCTGCATGGTCAGCTGATGCGAGCTCTGCAGCTGCTGCTCCATCTCCTTCAGCACCTGCCTCTGCATGGCCACCTGCTCCTGCAGGTGCTGGTTCCGGGCCTGGGACTCACTGAGGGCCTGCTTGGTCTTGGGCGACTCCACCTCTATTGTCTTGATGACATACTGCAAGGCGAGGGAGGGAAGGGCACGTGGGCACCTTGACCTCACCCCAGGGCCTGAGACACAGTTTCTTCTGGGGGAGGAAAAACTGGAGGAGCCTTAAGGTCCTGGCTTTGCGAAAAGCTGTAGGACCTCCTGGAATCTTCTCATCTGAACGAGAGCCTACTATGGAGCCTGGCCGTGGCCCCAGCCTGGGTACAGAACAGACCAGAAGGGCAAAGACGAGGCAGAACCCAGGGGCTGCACCGCACCTGCGCCTGGCACACGGTGGGCACCTCAGTTGCAGGATACCTGCTCCGTGCCCGGGCCTGGACAGCAGGAAGGGGAAGGGGCAAGACCGAGCACGGAAGTGGAGTGACCGCTGCAGCCACTCGCGCCTGCTCCTTCACCAGGGCGAGCCCCGCTCACAGCCCGCCCTGCCCTGGGCGCCAGGGGCCGGGGGCCGGGGGCCGAGGGCCGAGGGCCGAGGGCCGAGGCGCAGGCCAGGCCCAGGCCGCGGCTCACCTTGACAGGCGGGGACTGGGCCCGCAGGCTGGCGATGGTCTCGTGGCTGTCGCGCAGGCGCCGGCTGAGCCGCTCCTCCTCCTGCGCCTTCTCCGCCAGGCAGTCCTTGAGCCGCAGCTCCACCTCGGCCAGCCGGTCGGTCTTCTGCTGCACCTCCAGGTTCAGCTCGGACAGCATGCCTTTGTTCTCCGCCACCTCCAGCTGCAGCTGGGACAGCTTGTCCCGGAGCTGGGCACTCTCCTGGAGGCGGCCAGGCAGGGTCACATTAGGGCTGGGGTCACTATTAGGGCCTGGGGTCACCATCGGGGGATGGGGTTACCATTTCACTTGAGGTCACCGTCAGGGGATGGGGTCACTGTCGGGGGCCGAGCCCTCCAGGAGCAGGGTGGGGGGGCCGCGGCCGCCTGCTCACCTGGCTGTGCTCGCAGCCCGGGCAAGGGGTGGCTGGCGTCGCCCGCAGGTCCTGCAGCTCCGCCTCGCAGCGCCGCATCTCCTGCCTCAGCCGCTCATTCTCCACCATCAGCAGGTCCTGGTGCTTCTCCAAGTCGGTGCCCCCCTGCGGAGAGCCAGGGCCCAGGGGCTGCATGTGGCAGGGCAGGTGGGGGAGGAAGGGGGCAGGGGAGGAGGGTGCAGGGCAGGGGAGAGAGGAGGAGAGGCAAAGAGAAGGCTAAGGGCGGGAGAGAAAGAAAAAGGGGAACAAAAGGGAAAGTGCCCAGGAGAGAAGCAGAGAAAGACGGTGGAGGGGAGAGAGAAGGGGTACAGCAGGGCCCGCTCCCGCACCCACCCCTCGCTCTATTTTCCTGAGTGTGAAAGTAACAAGAAGTCATGTTTATAACAGAGTCACACTCCCTCCCCTCGGAGTCGCTGGGTGGTGTAAGTACTGGGGTGGCGTTTTTGAGATGGGGGGATGTGCAGGCTGAGAGAGGGGGTCGCACCCTGCACGGGCCGAGCCGGCCCCCGCCCCACCTGAGGACGGCACTGCCGCACTCACCAGCGCCGCCCGGAGTCGGCTCACTTCCTGGGCCTGGCTAAGGAGCTTCTCCTTCAGGTTCTCCACCTGCCGGCACAAGCCAGGCCACGGTGAGCCTGGGTCCTCACCCCCGCCCACCCGGCACCAGGGGTGAGCGACGTGGCTTGCCCCCTCGGCCTTGGGCCTCCCTGTGTTCAAGCACCACGTCACAGCTGGGACTCCCGGTGACAGGAACTGGGCCTGGGCCTGTCAGCCTGCAGCACCCTCTGCCCCCACAGGGCCGGGTCTGGAGAGCAGGTGCAGCCCAGGTAAGCCCAATGCCACCCTGCGGACCCCTCACTGGCACAGGCTCCCTTGGCATATGTAACTTCCCATTCTCCTTCTTTAAAAGGGCCCCCAAACTGTACAAACTCCTATGAACCCCAGACCTGTTCTTGCCCAGCCCCCAGAATTTTCCACCTTGCATGGTTTCCAGCAAGTCAGCCTGTGGAGACCTGTGCCTGCCCTGGCTCCCAACCTGCCTTGCAGGCGAGCCGGCCGGCAGGCTGTCAGAGAGAGAACGGGGTGTGTGCCCCATCGGGAACCGATGGTGACCTGGCTCATCTGGACGCTGGCAGAGGGGAAAACCACCACGGTGCCAGCCCAAGAGGGCAGATCCCAGGAAGGCGGCCCTTCCCTGGAGCGTCCTCCAGCTGCCGTCTCCCCAAAGGCCCAGGCCCTGGTCTCCCATCAGCCTGCCTCCAGGAACCTCTCCTCAGGAAATAACCCAGACAGACAAAGACTTTGTCACTCGTGTCCGGACATCAGAGCATGTGTGGGGTTTCCCTTGCAGAATGTTCTGTGATGACCACACCTCACCTTGGAGAGGCTGCAGCAAGAGTCAGAAAGCACTGTGAAAGCACTGGGTTCTCGAATGTTTATAGCAGCACAATCCACAATTGCAAAGATGTAGAAACAACCCAAGTGTCCATCAATACATGAGTGGATTAATAAAATGTGGTATATGTATACCATGGAGTACTATTCAGCTTTAAGAAACAACGGTGATATAGCACCTCTTGTATACTCCTGGATAGAGCTGGAACGCATTCTACTAAGTGAAGTATCCCAAGAATGGAAAGACAAGCACCACATGTACTCACCATCAAATTGGTATTAACTGATCAACACACAAGTGCACATATAAGAATAACATCTATTGGATGTCGGGCGGGGGGGAGGAGGGGATGGGTATTTGCATACACAAAGAGTGCAATGTGCACCATCCAAGGGATGGGCACACTTGAAACTCAGATTTGTGGGGGGAGTGGGGAGGCAAGGGCAACATACATAACCTAAACATCTGTACCCCCATAATATGCTGAAATAAAAAATAAAAATGTAAATAAATAAAGCACTGGGTTCTAATTACTAAACGACAACTAACTACTACGTGACAATGTCCACTGCCTATGGGGGACAGCCAGGTAAGGCTGGTGAGGGCTGTGCAGGGCTGGACACCCAAGCGTGACCTAAGGAGGCAGCCATACACGCTCCTCTGACCACAGCCGGGCAGGAATGCACATGCAGCATCACCAAACTTCTCATCTTTCAAGAGAGGCCGGACGTTTGAATTTTTGAGGTGTGTGTGTGTGTGTACAATCTCCCTACTTTATGTGGCTGAGATGTCATGAAACAACAGTCTGTGGGCAGCACTAAGCCTCGAAGGTCCCTGCCTCCCGCGGCTGGGAAGAGTGGCCGAACCACAGCAGCCAGGCCCCAGCTTCCCTGAGCGGGCAGGCAGAAGTGGCCAGGGTCCACCCCACCCCTGAAAAAAGGCCAGAGATGCCGGCCTGGCTCCCTCCTGGTGGGGAGGGGTATTCCAAGATGCAAGACCCAGCTAAGGGGCTGGGAGGTCCAACCAGGCCGCCCAAGGCCTCCTAGCAGACAAGCAGGTGACTTCAAAGGCTGGGCCCCAGGAGGTCACCTGTCACTGGCTGCGCCAGCATGTTCCTTCCTAGCAACGTGCTGGGCCACAGGCCGATCAGAGAGGCAAAGCTTGGGCCACTTCTCTGCCCACTAGTAACACCCCTTTCCGTGGCTGCGCACCTGGTGTGGGGAGCGCACGATTCCTCTGGCCACAGAGGGGAGCTGGGGCTGGCCTGCGGCAGGCAGCCCTTCCTTCCGCAGGCCTATGACTGGCGACACCCTGAACCCAGAAGTGGTGTGTGCACATACGTTACACAGACTCTGTGCAGTTGTTACCATCACGTTTACCAAGTCAGCGTGCCACGCGGGAAGGCTCACCAACATACTAAGTCAAAGAAAAATGTGGGGGAAAAAATTGAGTGTACAATACAAAAAAGGGGTCTCTGTGCTGTAGAATTATACTTGACAAATTCCTTGTGTTTTTCAGTAATTTTAAGGCTTGAAGAATATTTATTCCTCTTGCACTCCCCCCGCCCTGAAATACGTGGGCCTACTTCCTCTTGAAGAGGCTGGGGGCCCCCCACCCGCACTCCCCGCCCCCCCAGACAGGCTGCTGCCTCAGCACGGGGCTGGGGCTGGGCGTGCCGACCTCGACCATCTCCAGCGCCGCCGCCGCTGCCAGGTGCTCAGACCGCAACATAGGGAGAGCGGGTTTGCCAGTGCCTGCCGGGGGGTTGGGGCACCCGCCCACCACCCGCCTGCGGCCCAGGCTCCTGCTCCCTTCTTGCATCACAATGGGAACCTGGGTGCTCCTGGGCTCCGTCTGGAATCTCTGAGGGGTAAGGGGCGCCAAGAAGGAAGGAGGTGGCTGCAATGGGGCAGGTCTGGGGGCGTGGGAGAGGCAGGGGGAGTTGAAGACGGGGCTGTCAAAGACCCCTGTGATCAGAAATGTCAGACAGTAAGTCATCTCCGGCTCGTCTCAGGCAGCAAAGCTGGGGGACGTGGCTGAGAGGCAGCACACCAACACGGGTGCCCTGGCCAAGGTGCCACCGCCGCCTGCTCCAGGGTGAGTGGTGACCTTGCCCTGGCAGCCCAGCTCCCTATGGGGCCGGGGGCTGCTTTGGAAGGGCTTGCGGGGAAGACACCAGTTTTTCCCTGGACTTGAAGGCAGAGTGGGCAGAGGTAGGGAAAACAGGCAAGAAGTCTGAGAGAAACGGAGGTACCCGACAGAAGTGACAGGAGATGGGGCCAGGAACAGCAAGAGCCAAGCGTGGCAGGACCAGAGAGCTGCGCCTTCACACGCTCTCCGTAGCCCCGAGCCAGCCATGGCCGCCTGCACCTGTACCTGCAAGCCCAAGCGGGGAGGGTCCCGAGCGAGTGCCAGCATGGGGTCAGCACACAGTAGATGCTCAATAAATACTTGAAGTGACCATCAAGGGGCAGTGTGCACAGTCCTGAGCCAAAGAGCCAGGCCAAGGGAGAAAGCAGGATTCAAGCCAGGGCGCTGAGACGGTCCTGGGACAGCACAGACGGCAACCCGGGGCTGAGGTGGGCCCAGGCCGGGCCTGCGCGACACCCTCCCGGGCCCGGGCTCCTCGGCAGCCAGAGAGACCGAGAAGGAAAGAGGGAGCTGGGCCCGCCCGCCGACCTGACACGACCTGTGTTCACACAGCGCGGGCAGGAGCAAGCTCAGCGGAGGGGGCGGCTGGCCTGCTCCGGTCTGCCTTCCCTCAGCTGTCTGCTTCTTGGGCGGCTCTGACCAATGCGGCCAACCTGCCAATTACCTCCCTACCTCCCACCAAGCCCAGTCGACCATCATCATCCGCCCTGTGAGGACAAGAGGACTCTCTCAATGGCAAGGTGGAAGCCGGGAAGGCCGGAGGGATCCAGAGGCCTCCAGGAAACACAGCCCAGAGGCCACGCTCCGCTTCCCGAAGGCTTGATGCTGGCCCTACGACCACCGACCAGGCCTCTCTGGCCCTGTCCACGCCCTGCTTCCACTGCCAAGCCTTCGCATCCAGGCCCTTCGGCCACGGAGGGGCAGTAATAGCAGCTGACGATTCGCATTCTCAAGCCAGACTGCCTGGGTTCTAATCCAGACATTACCTTACCTGCTAGGTAATGGGTAACCTTGGACAAGCCTCTTAACTTCTCCATGCCTCTCGGTTTCCTCGTCTGTATACTGAGGCTACCTCATCGAGGCTGTCTTGAGGATTAAATGAGATGCTGCATGTGACGTGCTTAGAACAGGACCCAGCACGTTGCTAGAATGAAAGGCCTGGGAAGGCAGGAATTTTTGTCTGTTGTATTCAGTGCTGTGCTCCGGGCACCTAGAACAGTGCCTGACACACAGTAGCTATTCAGTAGGAAGAATGCTGACTGCACGGGGCGCCGGTCGGAGCCAGGTCTGTGGGGGAGGTTGGTAAGCAGAGTGGGAGGCAGCAGGGGGTGGGACAGGGCTGCGCTGCAGACGCTCACAGCCACCCAAAGGCAGGAGCTGCCACTCGACTCCAGGCAGTGGGTGCTACATGGGAATGTCGGCCCAGAGGTGCCACATTTTCCAGTATTTTATGACAAAAAGGAAGTCCACATTTTTATGTGACTTTGATTAAGATTTAAATATTGGCAACTAATTTGATTTAAAAATGAAGCCAACTACAACTAATAAATCCAGCAAAGTTGCAGGATATAAAACCAACACAAAAATCAGCTGCATTTTTGCAACTAGCAATGAACAGTCCAAAAAAGAAATTAAAAAAAAAATCCATTTATAATAGCATCAAAAAAGAATAAAATACTTAAGAATAAATTTAACAGGCCAGGGCGGTGACTCACGCCTGTAATCCTAGCTCTGGGAGGCCGAGGCGGGTGGATTGTTTGAGCTCAGGAGTTCGAAACCAGCCTGAGCAAGAGCAAGACCCCATCTCTACTAAAAATAGAAAGAAATTAGGTGGACAACTAAAAATATATAGAAAAAATTGGCCAGGCATGGTGGCACATGCCTGTAGTCCCAGCTACTCGGGAGGCTGAGGCAGGAGGATCGCTTGAGCCCAGGAGTTTGAGGTTGCTGTGAGCTAGGCTGACACCACGGCACTCTAGCCCAGGTAACGGAGTGAGACTCTGTCTCAAAAAAAAAAAAAAAAAGAGGTTAAAGATTTACACACTGAAAAACTACGAAA